GCCAGGGTCAGGGGCAGGTGCAGGGGCAGGAGCAGATGCAGGGGCAGGGGCAGGGGCAGGGGAAGGCATGGTGCTGGGGAAGGTGTGATGCAGGAAAGCGAAAAAAAAAATGTAGTCCAATAATGTTGTGGCATCAATGCTGGTGCTCTGCGAGGCAAGGAAAGAACCAACTGGAGATTCTGTGGTGTGTTGCACTTACACTGCCCTTGCTCCCCTTGCACTCATACCGCGAATCAAACCACTTAAGAGCGGGACCAGGCAAGAGGGTTGAAGGCCACCACCACTTGCAGAGCGGCAGACAGAGAACAGATGAGGTCACTTTAAGAACTCTGAGAATCAACTTCAAGTGCAGAGGGGGGAAAGAGAGGTGAATGAGAGATGGGAAAATGGGCAGTGCAACAGAGGGAGGGATAGTCAAGACGAGGAGCATCCACGAGGGGTGGGGGGGAGGAGAAGAGAGAGGGAGAATGGAGAAGGGGGATAAGGAACATCCACTAGCGGCAAGTGAAATAAGTTGCCTTTGTGTTCGACACGGCATGAGAATGGAGACCAGTGTAGTTGTTGCGTTATGGATGAAGGAGTAGTCGAGGGTTAGGGGAGGCAGGTAAATGGTGGAGGTAGGATAATTGGATCAGTAACCTTTGTCTGTGGTTTGGCATGTGGTGCGGCATAATAAAGAGCATGCACCGTACCAGGGTCTAGTCTCGCTGCATGGCGAATCCAGATGGTGGGCTGAAGTAGAGGTTGAGAAGAGGGCATTGCACGGAAGGGTGGGGAGCGGGAGAGGAAAAGGGGAAAATGGGATCAGACAAATGGGGTTGCTTTTGAGAATACTCAAAATCAACCTCGTGGAAAAGGGGTCAGACGAATGGGGGGAGAGAGGAGCGGAAGTGGTGGAAAAGGGGAGAGGAGGGAGCAACTTTTACATCAAATTTCATAGGATAACTATTGATTACCCCTTTATCATACTGTGCATTGCACCACCACCATCACATCATGGTCATCACAATACCACCTCATGATCATCACACCACCACATCACGACCATCACACCACCACATCATGATCATCACACTACCACATCATGATCATCGCTCCATCACATCATCATAATCGCACCATCGCATCGTGATCATCACACCATCACATCATAATCATCACACCACCACATCGCGACCATCGCACCACCACATCATGATCATCGCACCACTACATCACACCACCACATCATGATCATCACACCACATGCCATTTCAGGTCCAGCAGAGGCAGCTGCTGTCCTCCACCCTCTGCTTTGGCAGCCCCAGCACCATCCACACCACCACTGGTGCTTGTCATAACTTCCCCACCTTCGCCTTGCTTCACCCGCCTCCTTCCCCTTCCCCTGCTCTTTCTCAATTCCAGCAACTCCTGCTTTATTTTTTAGCAGAACGTGTGCCATCACCAGCAGCACTGCTCTGAACAGCTTCAGGACTAGCAGCACCGTTTTGAATAGATTTAGGGTCAGCTGGCTGCAACACCTGTGGATCTCGTTCGGTTGCTTGTTGCCTTCTCCTCCATATCAGGCACACCTTTTCTTTGAGTCACCTCATAATCTTTCAGGTCAATGACCCTCTTGACACGAGACCTTGCGGCACGCTTCCCACCACCTCCCTCATCTGCTCCATCCCTTTCATCTTCCTCATCCGCCACACATGCTCTATCTGCCTCGAATAAGAATCCATTGATCTTGAATATTTTGTCCCCCTCATCCCCTTCATCTTCTTCATCATCCTCATCCTCCTCATCACCCTCATCCCCTCATCCGTCCCATCTATTATTTGATTACAAAGCCCCCACCCGCACTGCTCTTCGCTATCCTCCTTGAAGGTGAATTCCACAGCTGCCAGCGAGGAAAGGGTAGCTCGAGGTATGGATGGGGACGGTGAGGGTTCAGGCATTGCTGGAGATGGGGGGATGGTGCCTCGCGTGATGAGGTGTGCCAGAGCTGCTGTCAGCACGGCTGATGCCTGCACAGGTGGTGTGTGGGGATGGGAGATGGGATGGAGGTTCGGAGACTAAGAGATGGGATGCTGGGAGCTGGAGAACAGCCATCCGGATTGTCTGGTTCCAGCCACCCCACCCACACCTCTTCAGTGTCCTCCCTAAACGTGGACTCCACAGCTGCCCGCAAGGAGAGGTTTGGAGTGGATGGAGTGTTTGGAGATGGGGGTTGGTGCCTTGGGTTATAAGGTGCGCCAGTTCTGCTATCTGCATGGTTGATGCAGGCAAGGACGGTGGGTGGGGATGGGAGATGGCAGGCTGTGAATTATGGAGGTTGGGAGGAGAGGGAATGGGAAAAGGGAGGTTTGGATATGGGAGGTTTAGAACGGACATCTGACCCATTTGAATCCTTATCCCACGGCCCCTGCCCGCTTTGCTCTTTAGGGTTCCCTTGGCGGCTGCCTGCAAGGGGCGGTTGACTGATGGTATGGATGAGGAGGGGCGTCTGGAGATGGGGGGATGGCACCTCGCACAATGAGGTTTGCCAGTGCTGTTGTCAGCACAGCTGATGGCTGCACAGGAGGTGCGTGGGGATGGGGAATGGGAGATTGTGAGGTTGGGAAGTTAGAAGCTGCCTCTGCCCACTCAAAGGAGCTGTCTCTTACCATGCATGTCGCACCCAACCAACCCAAACATTATCCAAGTATGTACGCAGCACCCAATGCCCTTCAAGCATCCTCACCTCCATAACAGTGCGGTACAGCCGGGCAGAGTTGTCATCAGTAACATGCTGCTGCACCATGCCTCTGATGCCATCATGGGGTTGCATCACTGCCACCGCCTCCTCCGACCAAAACGAGCTGGCCACTCGCACCCGCCAGTCTCCCTCCCACCTCACTCTTATCCCCTCCAACCCATTCTCGTCCCCTCCACCCCTCTCACTCTCTCCACCCCATTCGCATGCGTCTCTCCCTCCTGGCAGTCTCCCAATGTCTTACCCATGTGTGGGTCCCGCACAAGGTGTTCCAGTACCATCATGCGCTCAGTCGTCATACCCCATGCATGTAGCGCTTGCTCTCCCACTGCTGCCTCTGCTGCTGTGGTGGTGTAACAAGTGGAGCTGACTGCACTGGAGCCCGCGTGAAGTACATGGGAGGCAAAGGCATGCAGCGGCAGCATGCAGTTGCGAACGTGGGCAGCACAAGGGCGGAAGTGAGCAGGACGTGGGAGACCCACGCGAAGAGGACGAAACAGAGGTTTCGTGCCTTGACTGACTTTGGGGGACTTTCGCGTGGGATAGGTGGCGGAAGTCCAGAATTGAAGGAATAGAAACGTAACACGTGTTCAATTGCAGTGAGTAGTACAAATGTAAATAAGAAAGGTAGAATGCGGTCCGATGTTGGGGCTGGCCACCCGAATCAACATCTCGAGCCGCATGTCTGAATTGTAAATGTTCTGTACATATAAAATGCATTCGTAGGATAGAGAGAGTAGTTTTGTGGTTTCTCTTTCTGTTTGTCCTTCCTTGCTCTAAGGAAATTCTCTTGGGAAAGAATTCTCAGCCATAAACAACTAGAACAAGCCCAAGTGCCGTGAGCTTGTTCCAGGTGGCCTGAGGGAGCAATGGGATGCAACTTAGCCTATGGGGGTGTGACTTAAGATATGCTAGGCTACAGTGGGGTACATCTTAAAGCTGAAGTATACATTTGTCATCCAGGTTTTGGGTTTAGGGAGTCGCCTCACGGTCTCACGGGCAAAGTTTCAAATTTCAAAAGTTTTTGAACCCCTTCTGTCAAATGTATACTAAAGCTTTAAGGGATACAACACCATTTCTCAACACTCACACTTGTATCTGTTTTCTCTTGTCAACCATTCCAGTCGACCTACTATGAGACAATCTAGCCTACGATATATGCAAATATATATACTGACATGTCACTTCCAACCCCTTCCGTTCTCCCTCTGCTTGTCAAATCATAGCTCACAGGGATAGAATTACGATATTTCAGCGCTCTGCCGCCTGACACAAAGTGGCAAATCTTCCCGGTCTTCCTCCAGAATTCAGTGATGGAGGGTAAATTATATGAATAAAAAAAAATCCAATGATTGGAGAAGTTGCTGGAAATTTTTAACAAGGATCGAATTACTTTATTTTCATGCGCCCCTAATATCTTCCATACCAGAGGGAGGTCTTGCCTGGCATGAACATGCCACCAGCCACATGATAAAACTGTCGATGCAACTTGTGCAGCATGGGCATGAATATCTGACAGGGGTTTGCTAAAAAAAAGTTGTTTCCCATAAATGGAGAAAAGGTGAAATGACCGTTCACGTTCCAAACAACCAATTTTCTGTAGCGCGTATGACCCAAACAGAGATTTCACCATTTGACTTGCTAAATGCAGCGACACCACAGGCAACGAGAACACCAATGGCGTCGGCACCCGCTCTTGGGATATACAGCGCGCCATGCGGCGCGCGCAGTGACACACTTCGCGGTTTAGTCAAAACGCCAAACTCACACAGCCATGGTGCTGCAGCGAGCCCTGCTGCAATTTTCAGCAGCACTGGCTGCAAACGCGGCAATTGCGGCCGGCCCGTCGCACGCGTCCACGTCAGCCGCCTTCCCTGCTTCTGCGGAGCCTTGCAGTCGCGCTCCCGGAAGTTGCGGTCTGTCGATTGCGGCCAGAGTTGGATAGGTCAGGGAACGGTTGCCCGTGCTGCTCACATCACATTTAACGGTAATAAGGGCTTACGCGCTATAGACTCTCGCATTAGCAGCGCATGCTGCTTCCCAATAAAGCACGAGAGTTCAAGCCGCCCAGAACTGCATTGCCAAGCCGGGGCGGGAGGCTCGGAAGTTGCCGAGGCAGTGCCGGACGAGCCTGCCAAGTCCGGCAAGTACGAGGCTTGGGACGCGACGACGGAGCGGCTGACGGCGCTGTCGACTGTAGCGGGACTATTTATGATGGTGCCGCAGGTGAGTCGCGGTTGGGGGAAGGGAAGTGAGACAAGCGATGACGGGGAAAGGGGAGTGGGCGGGGGGAAAGCGACATGAGATAGGATGGGGGAGGAGGGGAGGAGCAGCTGACGGCGCTGTCGACTGTGGCGGGGATGTTGATGATGGTGCCGCAGGTGACGGTGCTGAGGGGAGGGGCGCGATGAATGGGACAAGGGGTTATGGGAATGAGAGGGCGGAAGGGTAGTGCAAGTGTTGGAAGGGTAGTGCAAGTGTTGGAAGGGTAGTGCAAGTGTTGGAAGGGTAGTGCAAGTGTTGGAAGGGTAGTGCAAGTGTTGGAAGGGTAGTGCAAGTGTTGGAAGGGTAGTGCAAGTGTTGGAAGGGTAGTGCAAGTGTTGGAAGGGTAGTGCAAGTGTTGGAAGGGTAGTGCAAGTGTTGGAAGGGTAGTGCAAGTGTTGGAAGGGTAGTGCAAGTGTTGGAAGGGTAGTGCAAGTGTTGGAAGGGTAGTGCAAGTGTTGGAAGGGTAGTGCAAGTGTTGGAAGGGTAGTGCAAGTGTTGGAAGGGTAGTGCAAGTGTTGGAAGGGTAGTGCAAGTGTTGGAAGGGTAGTGCAAGTGTTGGAAGGGTAGTGCAAGTGTTGGAAGGGTAGTGCAAGTGTTGGAAGGGTAGTGCAAGTGTTGGAAGGGAAGGGGAAGCGTGGGGAACTTGCAAGAAAAGGGGGAGTGCCGGGAGACTGTTAGTGAAGGTGCGTCCAGGGAGTGCCGGGAGACTGTTAGTGGAGATTTTCTTCCTCTTCCTCCCTGCCACCGCTCTCCACCCCTCTCCCTCACATCCCTGCCACCGCTCTCCACCCCTCTCCCTCCCATCCCTGCCACCGCTCTCCACCCCTCTCCCTCCCAACCCTGCCACCGCTCTCCACCCCTGCCCTTTGCCCCTCCGCGCCTGCAGATCCTAAAGAACGCCGCTCTGCTGCGCACCAACCAGGGCGCAGCGTTGGGCATCCTGTCGTGGCTGGGCTTCGCCACGGGCTTCCTGGGCAACATGCTGCTGCTCTCCTACTTCACCGCTAAGCGGGAGCTCTCAGCATGCCTCGTGCAGGTAGTGCCTCGTGCAGGTAGTGCCTTGTGCAGGTAGTGCCTCGTGCAGGTAATGCCTCGTGCAGGTAATGCCTCGTGCAGGTAATGCCTCGTGCAGGTAATGCCTCGTGCAGGTAGTGCCTTGTGCACCGCCTTGCTAGGTGCTACCTGCTTCACCATTTACCAAAGTATTCCCAAGGCTCGTCTCATCTGTTCGCCCCGCAGATGCTGCTCATCGTCCTGCTCTTCTCTCTCTCTTTTCCCTTCTCCATGCTGGCTCGTGCTGCTCTTGCCTCTTCCTCTTCCTCTCCCTTAACTCTCTGCCTTGCCTCTTTCTCTTCGTCCTGACTGGCGTTGCTTGCTGCTCGCGGGGTTCATGCCGCCACCAGCCTTCACAACAGTGACGGTCTATCTGCTGATCGGCTGCACCTTCACTGCCTTTTCCCTGCCCCCATCTCTTACTTCCCTCGCCTTTCTACTCCCTCTTTCAGGTAGTAGGAGCGGCATCCACAGCCGTCCTGCTCTCGCAGGTCTACCTCGCGGGGTTCATGCCCTCACCAGCCTTCACAGCAGTGGCGGCCTATCTGCTGCTCGGCTGCGCTGTCAACTGCCTGCGCTTCACCCGCCGCCTGCCCCAGCCCCTGTGGGACACGTGGCAGGACGTGATTGGCGTTCTTGGCCTTGCTGTGCTGCCACAGGTGGGGTAGCAGGCTCTGCAGCTGCCGTCTGCTGTCTGCCATTTCTTGCCGCATGTCCTTTCCACCCCTACCTACTCCATTCCACTCCCACCCACTCACCCTTGTCCACTCCGACTCACTCACTCCTGTCCACTCGTAACCTCTCGCTCACCGGTCGTATTCTTCTCTCCTTTTCAATCACTGTGCATCAACAGGCCTTTCCCCATCCACTTCCCAGCCCTTCTCCTCAACCTCCCCCAACCCAGCCCCCCTCCGTCCACCTAATGCCCTCACCATCCTCTGCTATTCTCCATGCCCCTGCTTCCCTGCCTCCTCCCCTCCCCCTTCCCTCCCCCTCACCTCTTTTTCATTTCAACCTCACCTCCCCTTTGCATCCCCTCCCCCCTCCACTCCCCTTTCCTCACCTCCCGCCCGCTCCCCTCCAATTTTCTGCCTTCCCCCCTCATCCCCTTCCCTGCGCTCCTCCCCTCGCCTTCCCTTGCCTTCCCATTCCCGCCCCCCGCTTCTGCTTCCCCCACTGCTGCTCCCCCCACTGCTGCTCCCCCCACTGCTGCTCCCCCCACTGCTGCTCCCCCCACTGCTGCTCCCCCCACTGCTGCTCCCCCCACTGCTGCTCCCCCCAACGCTGCTCCCCCCAACGCTGCTCCCCCCAACGCTGCTCCCCCCAACGCTGCTCCCCCCAACGCTGCTCCCCCCAACGCTGCTCCCCCCAACGCTGCTCCCCCCAACGCTGCTCCCCCCAACGCTGCTCCCCCTGCAGGTCATCTGGTCCACATTCTCCTCTGTCAGCACGAAGCTTCCAGGAACCGTCTCGGCGGTGGGCGGGTTACTGTTCATAGCGGCCATGCGGAGGGGGCTGGTGGGGCAGCGGTGGCGGGACAGGTGGCAGCTGCTGAGTGGCTGGACCGCCACGCTGCTCTTCATGGTCATGCCCGTCGCCCAGCTGCAGGTGAGATGCTTTGCACCGCACTGCACCGCACCGCACTGTGCCATGCATTGATACATGCATGAAGTGTTGCATCCACACTCTGATGCCATATCTCTCCGTCTGTCCTGCCTCTCTTCCTCTTCTGCCTCCCTATCGGCCATCTCTCACCCAGTCCAGTCTCTCCTCACCCAGTCTCTCCTCACCCAGTCTCTCCTCACCCAGTCTCTCCTCACCCAGTCTCTCCTCACCCAGTCTCTCCTCACCCAGTCTCTCCTCACCCAGTCTCTCCTCTCCCAGTCTCTCCTCACCCAGTCTCTCCTCACCCAGTCTCTCCTCACCCAGTCTCTCCTCACCCAGTCTCTCCTCACCCAGTCTCTCCTCACCCAGTCTCTCCTCACCCAGTCTCTCCTCACCCAGTCTCTCCTCACCCAGTCTCTCCTCACCCAGTCTCTCCTCACCCAGTCTCTCCTCACCCAGTCTCTCCTCTCCCAGTCTCTCCTCTCCCAGTCTCTCCTCACCCAGTCTCTCCTCACCCAGTCTCTCCTTACCCAGTCTCTCCTCTCCCAGTCTCTCCTCACCCAGTCTCTCCTCTCCCAGTCTCTCCTCACCCAGTCTCTCCTCACCCAGTCTCTCCTCACCCAGTCTCTCCTCACCCAGTCTCTCCTCACCCAGTCTCTCCTCACCCAGTCTCTCCTCACCCAGTCTCTCCTCACCCAGTCTCTCCTCACCCAGTCTCTCCTCACCCAGTCTCTCCTCACCCAGTCTCTCCTCACCCAGTCTCTCCTCTCCCAGTCTCTCCTCACCCAGTCTCTCCTCACCCAGTCTCTCCTCACCCAGTCTCTCCTCACCCAGTCTCTCCTCTCCCAGTCTCTCCTCTCCCAGTCTCTCCTCACCCAGTCTCTCCTCACCCAGTCTCTCCTCACCCAGTCTCTCCTCTCCCAGTCTCTCCTCACCCAGTCTCTCCTCTCCCAGTCTCTCCTCACCCAGTCTCTCCTCACCCAGTCTCTCCTCACCCAGTCTCTCCTCACCCAGTCTCTCCTCACCCAGTCTCTCCTCTCCCAGTCTCTCCTCTCCCAGTCTCTCCTCTCCCAGTCTCTCCTCACCCAGTCTCTCCTCACCCAGTCTCTCCTCTCCCAGTCTCTCCTCTCCCAGTCTCTCCTCACCCAGTCTCTCCTCACCCAGTCTCTCCTCACCCAGTCTCTCCTCTCCCAGTCTCTCCTCACCCAGTCTCTCCTCACCCAGTCTCTCCTCACCCAGTCTCTCCTCACCCAGTCTCTCCTCACCCAGTCTCTCCTCACCCAGTCTCTCCTCTCCCAGTCTCTCCTCACCCAGTCTCTCCTCACCCAGTCTCTCCTCACCCAGTCTCTCCTCACCCAGTCTCTCCTCACCCAGTCTCTCCTCACCCAGTCTCTCCTCTCCCAGTCTCTCCTCTCCCGGTCCCCTCATCATCTCTCAACCTCCTCTAGCATCTGTCCTCCCGCCGTCTCTTCTATCCTCTTATTCCATCTCATTTTATCTCTGCATCTTCCCTCCCTGCATCTCATTCCATCTCTGCATCTTCCCTCCCTGCATCTCATTCCATCTCTGCATCTTCCCTCCCTGCATCTCATTCCATCTCTGCATCTTCCCTCCCTGCATCTCATTCCATCTCTGCATCTTCCCTCCCTGCATCTCATTCCATCTCTGCATCTTCCCTCCCTGCATCTCATTCCATCTCTGCATCTTCCCTCCCTGCATCTCATTCCATCTCTGCATCTTCCCTCCCTGCATCTCATTCCATCTCTGCATCTCCCCTTGCTCTCTCATCGTCCCTTGCTCTGTATCTGACCGCACTCAGTCTTCCTGACCCCTCCACCTCTCGAACCCTCCTCTCCCCTCCCCCATCACCCCAGGTATGCTTCACGCGGCCCGACCAGCTAGCGGGCATGTCAGCGCTCTCCTCGCTGCTGGGCATAGTGGGCAACGGCCTCATGGTGCCGCGGGCGCTCTTCACACGCGACTTCATCTGGTGAGAGCCCCTCGCTCTTCACTCACACGCCCTGCTGCCGCCCATGCTGCCGCTCCTGCTGCCACTTGCTCTCACTTCAAAGTCATACCATAGTGGGCAACGACCTCATGGCGCCGCGGGCACTCTTCATGCGCGACTGTATTTGGTGAGATCCCGTTGTTTTTCACTCACAAGTCATGCTACCCCTCATTCTGCCAGTCATTCTTCCCCTCATGCTGCCCCGCATTATGCCCCTCCTTTTGCCCCTCATCCTGCCTGACCTCCACTCTCCTGCTTCCCCTGCCACATATTCTCCCCAAGCGATCTCCGTCACACCACTACCGCTGCCTGTCACACTCCAGGGCCGTATGCGAGCCGGCATAACCAATCCCCCATGCCCTAGGATGTGTTGCCTTAATCAATTCCCACCTCCCCCTCCTCCCTCAACAGTCACACCTTTCTTGTATGTCCACATGCATTTTATCCCCATCTTGCTTGTTGGGTGCAAGCAAGCCGCCATTCGCCCACCTCCTCATCAAAGCCCCTTGGGATTTGCGGGGTCAAAGTCCCCCGCTCTTCCCATGTCCTCCGCACTCAAGCCTTTCTTATATTGCTCGCCTTCGTCCTAATCCCATCACGCGTGTGGCACGTTCCGTTCCGCTATATGTGGGCCGCCATTCTCACTGTCTACTGCCACCGGCTGGATGTGCTGCCTTCATCAATGCCCACCTCTGCATTCCCTCGATCATTCAAGTGTATGGCACATGCTTGCTTGTGTCATGCCCCTGGAGCTACAAATGAGCCTCCGTTCTCAACGTCTCTGCCACCGGATGTGCTGCCTTCAACATTCCTTTTTCAACTCCCTTCCTAAACCCTTTTCCTTTCTCCCCTTCCGTGGCGCACAAACTCTCCGGGTGAGAATAATTTCCCACATGTTGCCCATCACCTCTCCTGTTTCATCCCACCCATTCCTGTAATGCTTGTGTCAGGTTTCTGGGTTGTTCCTGGGGCTGCATTCTCATGGGCTGGGGTGTTCTCCTCGCCATGGCCCTCCACGGCTTCTACCCGCCTCGCCTCTTCATGGCTGTCTCACTTGCGCTTATCGGCTATCTTGCTGCTGTCTTTAAGTTTGATGCCGATGCACATGTCTGCACTCCTTTGCTTGGCTCTATCTCTGGATTGCTAAAGGGTGCAGCTTGAGTTTTCTTGCGGAAGGGAATAGTTGATACTGCTACGATAATGTAAATGATCCTGTTTTGGGGGATGTAGAGTTGCTTTAGCACTACGTTGAGGCATTTCGGAAGTGTTATGTACAGCTAGTGGCATGTTAGGGGTAACCAGACTGTCGCCAAGGTTTCGCGATTCCTCGAGAGCTTTCCAGGTTCGTCTTGCATGCTGCTGGAACAACCCAGCATCCCCCAGCGAGCCTCACCATCAGGTCGGAAAACAGGAGAAATTTGTTTCTAGTGGATTCTAGGCCGAGAGCTCTGGTCTAGGAGCAGCCTTTCTTTCCTTCCAAGCCGCGTGCGCTTCGCAAATGTCTTCCATTCCGCGCTACGAGATGCGTTCTCACTGCAATATTTATGTCTGCTCTTTTGGCTCTCAGAAACGCCACGTGAAACCTGCTATAGCTTCCCAGCCCACCAACAACATTCCTGGATCTTAGAGGTTATTGCCGCCAGTAGCACATTACCACAGCATCGCGATCATCGCCTCATTCGCCAGTTCATTCAGGCAGACGTGGCGCTGGCGCTGCTTTCCAACCCGTTTGCAAATTCAATCCCTTCGTTAAGCGACTTCGACGACATGACCTCCATGCTAAATCATTTTCCAAGTAATCTCCTTGGCGACACTCAGTCACTCCTCAGTCACTCGCTCTACAACAATCCCCTTCGCAATCTCACTTTCATCGGCGGTAACCCAGTAAACCAAGCTCTTCGCGAGCTCGACAACGACTCGCTCGGCGTTCCCGAGGTTGTCGTTAAAGAGTATCCAGACGCGATCAAAATCGTCGCGACCGTTCCGGGCCTCGAGAAGAAGGACCTGCAGGTGCAGGTGCGGGGGAAGGATGTTGTGACGATCAGCGGCAAGCGGACCAGAGAGGAGAGGGACAACGACGACAGCAACCGCGTTGTCAAGGAGTTCAGCAGCTTCGAGCGCAGCTTCCGGCTGCCATGTGACGTGTCTACGAAACAGGTTACAGCAGCAGCGTGGAACGGCGTGCTCACGGTGACGGTTCCCAAAAGAACGTCTTGCAAACAAACGTCTGGTCGCAGGCTCGCGAATCCAAACGCGAAGGGGAAAGCGAAGGATGTTCAGAAGCAAGGCGGGCTGAGCGGCGAGCAACGAGTTAGCAAGAAGAGGAAAGTTGTTCACTTTGCCCCTGGGAGCTGAACTCACCTTTCTAGGGTGCAAGGGTCCTGTCAACGTGATGGCCCCCCACAAATTCCACATAGTACCTATGCTGTAATCACGTGTAATTACTGGTATGTTTTTTTGCTACACCATGTAAATATCTATATAGAGGAGATAATGCCGCTTCCATCTTCATGCGTGGCAAAGACTACTAGGTATATATCCAATGCATGCAATGCAATGTAACAATTCTCTTGCATTATATCTTCAACTTTGGTGGTGCTGATGCGATAGAATATGACAGGAACATGAAAGATACAGAGCTTGAGCAGATTGATAGGGAGTCAGACACTGTAAAGGGGATATGAAAGAATTGGAGGCTGGTGGCCTTGGCACCTCTGAAATTGTGTCATCTCAGGAGTGGTGTGTCACGATGCGGTGAGGTTGAGATGGGTCATGTCATGACTCATGAGTGGTGGGTGAAGATGCAGGGATGTTGACACGTGTCATTTTAAGAGTGGTGTGTGAAGATGCGCAGGTGGTTGTCAGCTCCCCCACTGACTACAGCGTTGCCGCCCTGCCACCAGTCCGCACACAGCACCTGCCCACCCCAGAGGTGCATTCAATACATTGTATCAGGACAAGGCATGAGGGGTAAGGACATGCGTGCATGGGGCAGTGACATGTGTGTATGACACAAGGCACGTTCGTGTGCTATCTGGGTGCAGTAAGGCACATGTGCGTGAAAAGGCCATGCATGCAGTAAAAGCCATCCACAGCGCATGAAGGTATCACGTCCATGACCCATGAACGGATGGATTTGATGCATCAAGTGATCAATGGTCACTCGATCCATGCAAGGTTCGGGATGGCAAACTTTTTTTTTTTCTTTTTTCTTTTTTTTCTTGTAATGCTACAAAATTACTCTGTGTGTGCATGTTGCGAAATGGCAGATGGAGCTGCTGGAAGGGCGTTGCCAGTGTCCTTGGCCAGCACGTATATATTGGCACTCAATGTGTTGATGACATGATAACATGATGATGTGGCATGCACAGACGAGCGAAAGGCATGAAGACATTAGCGCATGCAGGCATGCAGGCATGACGGCATTAGCTCATCCAGGCATGCAGGCATGAAGGCGTGAAGGCGTGAAGGCATGAGGGCATGAAGGCATGGAAACAAAGCAGACATAAAATGATGGCATGAAGGCTTTGGCCTTACCTTATCCGAGTGAGCTTTGACCGTGTGAAGCGGCACCTGCACGTTAGAAAGAGAGGCACGGGGGTGTGAGACATGCTGAGTTAGAAGCAGGACGGCAGCATGTGGGGGCCCATGGCTGCACTCACACGAACCTGTGCACTTGCACTTTGAAACACACATAACTGGCACGAAATGGTTCGGACTGGGAGAGAATACGGCAAACCATGCACATGACTGAGTTGTGGATTTGTACAGCGCCTTGGAAGCGCTGTACCAGGTTTTTGAAAGTTATTAATAAGCTTTCAAGTTGCGTCTCACAATACGAGACTGGTAACATGCACCCCTTGGGCTGCATGCATGTACAGAACAGAGAGTACACACACATGCAGCCCAAGTGGTGAAGCAACTTCATGGGGAGCATGGGGGAGGGGGGACAAGGGGACAGGGGAGTGGCGACATACAGTGGAGCCAAGATCCAGATCTGAGCGAACCATCGTAGGAACGGGGCCGGGGGAACATGGCGGTTGGGGGCCAGGAGAACGTGGGGATGAGGGGCTAGGGGAACGTGGGGCAGGGCACTCATCTTGAGGGGCACTCACAGTGGAGCGAAGATCCCACATCTTGAGGGGCACTCACAGTGGAGCGAAGATCCCACATCTTGAGGGGCACTCACAGTGGAGCGAAGATCCCACATCTTGAGGGGCACTCACAGTGGAGCGAAGATCCCACATCTTGAGGGGCACTCACAGTGGAGCGAAGATCCCACATCTTGAGGGGCACTCACAGTGGAGCGAAGATCCCACATCTTGAGGGGCACTCACAGTGGAGCGAAGATCCCACATCTTGAGGGGCACTCACAGTGGAGCGAAGATCCCACATCTTGAGGGGCACTCACAGTGGAGCGAAGATCCCACATCTTGAGGGGCACTCACAGTGGAGCGAAGATCCCACATCTTGAGGGGCACTCACAGTGGAGCGAAGATCCCACATCTTGAGGGGCACTCACAGTGGAGCGAAGATCCCACATCTTGAGGGGCACTCACAGTGGAGCGAAGATCCCACATCTTGAGGGGCACTCACAGTGGAGCGAAGATCCCACATCTTGAGGGGCACTCACAGTGGAGCGAAGATCCCACATCTTGAGGGGCACTCACAGTGGAGCGAAGATCCCACATCTTGAGGGGCACTCACAGTGGAGCGAAGATCCCACATCTTGAGGGGCACTCACAGTGGAGCGAAGATCCCACATCTTGAGGGGCACTCACAGTGGAGCGAAGATCCCACATCTTGAGGGGCACTCACAGTGGAGCGAAGATCCCACATCTTGAGGGGCACTCACAGTGGAGCGAAGATCCCACATCTTGAGGGGCACTCACAGTGGAGAGAAGATCCCACATCTTGAGGGGCACTCACAGTGGAGCGAAGATCCCACATCTTGAGGGGCACTCACAGTGGAGCGAAGATCCCACATCTTGAGGGGCACTCACAGTGGAGCGAAGATCCCACATCTTGAGGGGCACTCACAGTGGAGCGAAGATCCCACATCTTGAGGGGCACTCACAGTGGAGCGAAGATCCCACATCTTGAGGGGCACTCACAGTGGAGCGAAGATCCCACATCTTGAGGGGCACTCACAGTGGAGCGAAGATCCCACATCTTGAGGGGCACTCACAGTGGAGCGAAGATCCCACATCTTGAGGGGCACTCACAGTCGAGCGAAGATCCCACATCTTGAGGGGCACTCACAGTGGAGCGAAGATCCCACATCTTGAGCGAGCCATCGTAGGCAGAGGAGAGGAGATGCAGTGGGTTCGATGGGGACCTGTAGAGGCGGCAGAGTGATACGGGATGATCATGGAAACAGGTGAGGCTAGCATGTGAAACAAGTAGGAAACAGGTGAGGCTAGCATGGGAAACAAGTAGGAAACAGGTGAGGCTAGCATGGGAAACAAGTAGGAAACAGGTGAGGCTAGCAGGGGAAACAAGTAGGAAACAGGTGAGGCTAGCATGGGAAACAAGTAGGAAACAGGTGAGGCTAGCATGGGAAACAAGTAGGAAACAGGTGAGGCTAGCATGGGAAACAAGTAGGAAACAGGTGAGGCTAGCATGGGAAACAAGTAGGAAACAGGTGAGGCTAGCAGGGGAAACAAGTAGGAAACAGGTGAGGCTAGCATGGGAAACAAGTAGGAAACAGGTGAGGCTAGCATGGGAAACAAGTAGGAAACAGGTGAGGCTAGCATGGGAAACAAGTAGGAAACAGGTGAGGCTAGCATGGGAAACAAGTAGGAAACAGGTGAGGCTAGCATGGGAAACAAGTAGGAAACAGGTGAGGCTAGCAGGGGAAACAAGTAGGAAACAGGTGAGGCTAGCATGGGAAACAAGTAGGAAACAGGTGAGGCTAGCATGGGAAACAAGTAGGAAACAGGTGAGGCTAGCATGGGAAACAAGTAGGAAACAGGTGAGGCTAGCATGGGAAACAAGTAGGAAACAGGTGAGGCTAGCATGGGAAACGAAGAGAACAAAACCAGTGTAAGTATAACAACCCATGAATTGTTATACTTATGGCTTATTGAGTTGAATGGGTTGTTATAGCGTATTGAAACCATAACAAACCATTCACAACCATTTGTGGAATTGGATAGCAGTCAACTGCCATGTCAACTGCCATGTCAGCAACCTAAGACATTCTCTAGCAAGGAAGCACTTCACCTACGTTGCTGCTCGCTAACATAGATAGATGGTTCCGCCAAACTCCGTTTCCAGGAAAAGACAAACGAACCAGCAGCAGCAAATGGTAGTATTGCACACACACTACGAGTGCTCTTGGCCCCACGTTACCATTCAGGGGAGGAGATCCAATCCAAACCACACGTTACCATGCGAGGGAGGAGATCCAATCCTAACCACACGTTACCATGCGAGGGATGAGATCCAATCCGTGTGACCCAGCAGCTGGATCGATGGAGAAAGCACGGCTGGAGAGGGAGTTTGAAAAGGGAGGAGCGAGGTCGGAGGTGGGAGGAGGGGAGAGTGGCTCTGGGAAGTGTCACTTGCACTCACAAGGGGAAGGGGGAAGGGGAGGGTATGATGGAGAATATGGTGCAGACGAGGAAGGGGTATGTGCTTGCAAGATGGAAACACAAGGGTGGAATGACACCCACACTTCACCCTTGTCCAAACCTCACACCCTTGTCCAAACCTCACACCCTTGTCCAAACCTCACACCCTTGTCCAAACCTCACACCCTTGTCCAAACCTCACACCCTTGTCCAAACCTCACACCCTTGTCCAACCCTCACACCCTTGTCCAAACCTCACACCCTTGTCCAAACCTCACACCCTTGTCCAAACCTCACACCCTTGTCCAAACCTCACACCCTTGTCCAAACCTCACACCCTTTTCCAAGCCTCACACCCTTGCCCAACCCTCATGGCCTTGCCCCACACTCACATGCTGCAGAGCGCATGTCCCAGACCAGGATGGTGGGGTGAGCAGAGCGCATGTCCCACACTACACCCATACCCTCACAGCAAGCCATCCCACTCACATGTGGCAGCGCGCATGTCCCACAGCAGGATGGTGGGGTGCGCGCCCCCCACTGCCACCAGCGACGCCATCCCACCTCCCCCTGCCGCCACTGCCAGCAGCGGATGCGCGCTCGTCTGAAGTGAGAAGGGGGAAACGGGGGGGGGGGGTGCATGGATCACACCAGAGCCCATAGGAAGGACAGCGATTGCACATGCCATGGTCATGTATGCGTGCGTATGGAAACTGAGGCAGAAACAGCAACCACGTCCCACGAGCGACGAGTGAGCGTGGTTGCCCTACAGCCACATTG